TTTTTTTTTGGAAATTTTTTTTGAAAATTTCTCCCAAGAGTGGGAAATTCACCCAAACCCTTGCTAGAGTCAAATAGAGACTTCGTTCAGAGGGGGGGGGGGGGGGGGAGGCGGGAGAGGGGGGGGGGGAGGGAGCGAGGGCCTTGCTTGTGAAATTACACGTTGAATTTGGTGTGCTTATGAGTCGCCTAACCGTTCGGCAGCTCCGGGAGGCTCCCTGGCTGAGGGCGGGGTGTCCCGTCCCCCCCTCCCTTTACAGCCACCCCAAGAGGCGCCCGGGCCGCAGCAGCGGGCTCCTTGGCGGGGCGCCGGGTCGAGACCCCCGGCAGGTCGGGCGGGGGGCGTTGCAGGCGGATGGGAGCTCCGCGGCGCTTCTCCTGGGGCGAGGGGGGGGGGCCCGCCGAGGCTGCCTGGCCTTTTAGTCCCGGGATAAAGCTTCGCTGCGTTGCTCAGGCTCGCGGGGAATCCCCAAGCAGGGAGGGCCGGGAGGGGAAAACGGGGCTCCGGCTACCCGCGCGGCAGCCTCGCTCGCGGCTCCTCCTCTGCATTTCCGCCCCGAAGGGCGGCGGGTAGTCGGCCCGCGAAAGCACCTGCCAGGCGAACCTGCGGGCGTGTCTCCTAACAACGCAGGGAAATTCCAGTCGCTCAGCTGCGCAAAGGCGGATGCAGACAGATCGCCTCCTTTACAGAGCCTGGGGGGGGGGGGGGGGGGGGGGGGCTGCGAGACCCTCCCCCCTTGTGCCTACGTCTGTTGCTGCAGATTTTCAGGCCAAGTTTTGCGTTTGGGGCTGGATTTCAGCTGGGTCAATGTGGCATTAGCTCCTCGGTTGCCATGAAGCCAGGCAGAAAGGCACACCGAGTGGGGCCCCTCACAGGTCAAGGGTGGGCACCGGCAGGGTCCCAACACTGGGGACCTGAAAGAGCAGCCAAGACCAGGGACTTGGGGCTGTCGGCCTGCAGCTGCCCGGTGCCCAAAGCCAGGCAGCCTCTGCGCCAACCTGCCCCTCACTGCCTGGGCAGCAGCATCCCTGCTCCAGTCGCCATAGCAACGGCCAGGAGGAGGCAGGATGTTGGGTGGATCCTGCTCACATCCGCAGAGGCCAGAGGAGGAAGAGGAGGAGACGGAGCCAAGAAGATGAAGCAGGTGGGGGAGAAGGGGCTGAAGGGGATGGGAGGAAAACCAGAGTATTATGGGATGGCTTTGGACCGGCAGGATGCAGGAGGCTGTGTGTAAAGCAATTCCCTGCCCAAAGGCGGTCTGGGAGAGTCTTTGGCCCTGAGCGCAGAAAAGGAGCACAAGGCTAAGCGGGCAGGGGGGCAGTCCAGCCTGGGAGAAGATTATTTGGAACGGAACCCATTTTCCGGAGGGAGGCCTTGAGTATCGGGGTGTGCGGACACATGGTGGTTCTGGTAAACAAGAGGCAGGGAGTCCCTCGGCCTTGGGAGGCAGGAGGAGTGACTCAACCCTTCAGTCAAAACAGAGGCTGTGTGTACTTTCCCAGACCCAGAAGAGGCACATAGGCAGCCAGCTGGCCAGAGCGAGGCCTGGTGTGGCTGAAAAGAGGAAGCGACGCCAGGTGGGAAAAGCTACCTGGAAACATTGAGAGGCAGGAGGGGAGCAGGACTGAGGGCACAGGAGAGAGGAGGCCGGGGAGAGGGGCAAAGGCTCTGCTGGAAAAGGAGGACAGAAAGAGGCCTGGTTCTGCCGGGGTCTCCAGCCGTGGCTTCCGAGGCCTTCCTCGCGCCTTCCCTTGGTGCACCTCTGAGCTTGGGTGTGTATGGGATGCTCACGCAGGGCCCGCCTTTTTCAGACCTTGGCAGATGACACGGAAGACGTGTCCCTCGACTTTGGGAATGAAGAGGAGCTGGCCTTAAGGAAGGCAAAAGTCAGGTGAGGAGGGGGCCCTCTTCCAACTGCCTTCTCTCGGTTTCATAAACGGACCCTTTTTTATACGTACGATGGACGTGCATGCAAACTTCCTTTTGAGTTTCTGCTGCACTGGTTGAGGGGTTTTCTTTTGCCTGCTCAACTGAATTTGGGGCTTATTTGGTAGAAAGCTTGTTGGAATTCTGTGTTCTGTAACCGCATGGCACGGCACGGCTGTTCTTAGGCAAGCTGACCGAAGCTTTTGGTATTTCTGGCACTTACTAAGTACACTTGCCAAATTAATTGGCTGTGCGGAATCACTGAGAATTGGGCTGCACACAAGTTTAACATTGTTCCTGTATAAGTGTAGCCTAAACAGTTTGGATTTGCTTTTAAAATTACTTGATTAAATTCGGTGACCTTTGCTGTTTGGGTCCAGAACTACCCCAAAGAGGCTTCTTTACCGAAATTCACAGATGCAAAATCAAAGGTTTCTCCTTGCTGTTCTCTTGTGCCTACCGTTGCCAGGTAGGTAAATATGAGATCACCTGGCGGTGTCCCAGGTGTCCTTGGAATCGGCCTTGCTGTGAACTGTTTATCTTTCTTCTCACTCTCACCGACTAATGTAAACACACCCTGCAGGGCTTGGCTCGCTCTTGCGGCGGATGGGGCTTCACCAGGAAGCCAGTGTGCCAATACCCAGCCAGGGCCGCCTGGCCTTTGCCCTCCTCCGCCCGGAAGCCCCAGAGCCGCAAACTCCCGCGTTACCCAAATGTTTAAAGGCGGGGGGGTGTCCAACCCCAACAACTCCCGACATCCTGGATGGTTCCTTCCTAGGTACCCGCTGGCCACCTTCTTCCACCTCTTCTTCCGCGTGAGTGCCATCGTGACCTACCTCTTCTGCGACTGGTTCAGCAAAAGCTTCATCGGCTGCTTCCTCGTCATCCTCCTCCTCCTCTCCGTCGACTTCTGGTCTGTGAAGGTAGGCCTCCTGCTGGCCTCGCCTCACAAGGCCACGCTGGGTCCCTTGGTTCTGCCGGGCCCTTCACGGTGCCAAGGAAGGGGGAGAGCCACCCAGCTCCCTCCCCCCCCCCCTTCCACCTTCTCTTCCTCGGCTTCAGACAATTCTTAGTGCTCTCGGTGGTGGGCAGATACAAGGAGCACCAAGGAAGCAAACCTTGAATTTGCTTCATGAGTTTGTTACTTAACAGGTGCCAATGATGGGAAAGGGGCTTTCTTCTCCTAGATGATTATAAAAAAAAAAGGGGGGGGGAGGGTTAAGGTGGTGCCTCGAGCATCACCACCAGTCTCAGCGGGGATCCAGCAACTGGGGAAATGAAGGCCGTGGTCGCAGCCAATGCAACGAAGGAGGCGTCGTTCTCCAGAGCTCTCCAGCCTGGGGCCTGCCAGCCCATCAGCTCCCTTCCCACCGGCCGGCAAAGTCACAGGGTTGCAGTCCTCGACCAAGGGAGTCTGATGGGCGAGTCACCGCCGGCTTCTCCAAATGGCGGCACAGGGAGAAATGCTGGTTCTGGGGGGCCCAGCCCGGTTGAGGCAGGGTGAGGGCCCCCCGACATTTCTGTAGTTCAAGAAACTCCCCAGACTCCCATCTTTCTTCCCGGCCATCTCTCCCTAAAGGGCACCCTCTTCTTTCATCTGCCCCACCAGAATGTCACCGGAAGGTTGCTGGTCGGTTTGCGATGGTGGAACCAGATCGACGAGGATGGGAGGAGCCACTGGGTGTTTGAAGCAAGGAAGGTAGCTGCTTCTCTTTTTCAGCACGTGAACCTGGGGGTCGGTTTACGAGGGGGAGCCATTTGCTCTTGAACTGCAAGAGAAAGGCCTCGAGGCGAACCTGAGCACCTCCCTTCTTGCCTGGGGGAAGCCAGAGGTCAGAATGCAGCCCTCATAACCCCCAGCTAACGTCACCCTGGCTGGGAACAAGGGGATTTTTCATGTCGGTCTGGAAAAGGGAGGGGGGGGGAATCTGGTGGCTTTGCGCATTTTGGAGCCCGACATTTCAAAGGGCTTCACAAATTTTGGACCGTATAAACCCGATCAAAGCATCACATTTTAAGGAAGTTTGCTTGCTAGCATGAAGAAGTGAATCTGCTTTCTTAATAGGACAGTATCTGTTCCCATTTCTGTTGAATGTTGTCGTCTTGCAGAGATTTGGGCCGAGCGCAACACTCACAACCACGTCTTAAAATAATTTGCTCTTCTCTCCTTTTGAGGCTCCCTCTGCCGTGGCTCCCCCCACTGAGGTAGAAGCCCGGATCTTCTGGCTCGGGCTGATCGTCTGCCCAGTCATCTGGATCCTGTTCTTCTTCAGCACCCTGTTCTCCCTGAAGCTGAAGTGGCTGGTAAGGGCTGGGCGGCACTCGCCAGGGTTCCTCTGGGACTCCGAGACCGGGGCAGCTTGTGGCCCGATGCCTGCAACCGTCCGTCGCGAGGTGCTTCGTGAGCAGGCAGGGATGGCGTAAAGGCTGCACCAGGGCCCACCCAAGGCCCCTGTCGGGTGGGGGGCTTCCTTGGTGGGGCGCTGAAGCATTTTCGGAGTAAGGAGCCGGGAAGAACTCAGTTCTCCCTCGCCTCTTCTGGGCGACCTTTGACAGACGGGCTGTCATCCCCGACTCTCGCGAATCCCCCTCAGCCCAACGTTCCAGGTAGAACTTGGCAGTCTTCGAGGGTAGAGATTTAAAAAGATCCTCAGGTTCTCAGGAACCTGGATTCCTTACAAAATGTCCTTGTGATTGTGTGAAGGTGCTTTGCAAAGTCGTACAAATATCTGTCAAGAGCCTTCCCCTCTGAAAATCATCCTCCTCTGCTAGCCCCCCCCCCCCCCCCCCCGTTTAGGCTGGGCGAGGGCTGCTCTCCCCGCAGGTCCTCGGGGGTCTCCCCCGTTCCCTTAGAAACCTGCCGGCGGGTCTCCTGCCCCTACGCTTTGTGTTCCAGGCCCTGGTGATAACTGGCATCTGCCTCCAGGCGGCTAATCTTTACGGCTATATCCACTGCAAACTTGGGGGAGCCTCCCAAACCGCCCGCAAAGTCACCGCACCCTTCCCGGCCCAGGACCTCTTCCAGAAGGTGAGCAGCAGGAGAGCCTCCTGCCCAGCGTTGGAGGTGATGCACCGGTGGGGAAGACTGGGAATGGAGGCAGAGGGAATCGCTCAACGGATCCTGGCCATGGCCGGGTGGGTGGGGCTGTAACCGGGGAATTCTGCCGCACCTGCCCGCTAGCATTGGCTTCCCCACCTCTTCGGCCACCAGCCTTGTTCTATTGCTCCTGCAGGAACGACCGGAGGACTTTCAAAAAAACGTCCTGGAGCATCTGGGGACCCAAAGCCATTAAAATGAGGCTGTCTGGAAGGTCCCCGGGGGCCGGTTTCTGCGCTAAACACGACAGGCTGCCTTTCGCCTCAGAAGAGCCAACGCAGCACATTCAGCACCCGCAGCTTCAGCTTCCTCTTGGCCTCACATCCCATGTGGCGCTTTCTGGCACAGCAGCCCTTCTCTAGGACGCTGTTCCGGGCTTTTCCTCTGCCGGAGCGGGTGGCAGGCTGATGCCGAGCCCCAAGCTCTGAGCGCCTCCCGAGGAGGAACGCCGGTTTCTCCGCTTGAGAGGCAGGCTCAGAGCCTCTGCCCCTCCCTGCTCCTTCGGCGGCCTTCATTCAGCCCAGCCCAGCCCAGATTCTGTTAGGCATCATTTCAGCATTTGTGGGCGGCATTTGTGGGCGGCTTTCTGCAGGTCCCACATTCCCTTCTGCCCCCGTTCACCTGTGGAGGATGCTGGGGGCGTGAAACGGTCACCCTTCCTGCCAGCCTCTCCCTGGGGAGCTGCAAGGGGCACAAGGGGAGTCTCTGGCCACGGTCTTTGCCTTCTCCCTGCTTTCTGTAAGAACGTTTGATCCGCGAAGCAGATGAGGAAGTGAAACAGCGATCCCTCTGCTTAGAACTAGACAGACACAAACAGATGAGTTGTTTTTATTTGCCGCCTTAAAAGAGCTAATATGGCACCACACGGTGTCTCTCGTGGACAGGACCCTGTCGGTATCACCCTTTTAAAACACCTGAAGAATGAGACTAAACAAAATCAAGGGAACTGACCTTTGTCCTCAAAGAGAAAAAGGAAGACTTAATAAGTTTTTCTCAATAAAAGCAGCCTCTGAACTTGTCTCCAGTGGCTGATTTCACCAGTGAAGTTAATTATTAAGGGAAGTTATCACATCACGATAAGTGGATCTGCTCCCATGAACAAAACACAAAACACAGCCTGTTTTGGGAAAACCTAGAAAGGCTCTCCTCAGAAAAACATCTTTGATTGGCAAGTATTATTCCAAGGTATTTATTTGCACATACATGATTGTGCACAAAGGATCCACGTTTATCTGCTGCTCAGATCATGTTTTCTTCCTGTGGGGAGTTCCGGTTGCAAGAATCCTGGATTCCTGCAAAAAGATCCAGAGCAAGAATTAGACTCAAACTCCGCAAGGCCTCCCTCTCTGGCCGGCTTCCAGCCACAGGCGCGAAGGCCACCGGGTGGCTCTTGGGAGGGGCTGGGAGGCCACTATTGCCCACAGGAGTGGCCGGTGGCTGAAAACGATTCCGAGAGCCAGGCTTGCTGTCCAAAACATCTTTTTTTTTAAAAAAAGGACACCCCGAAGTGCTTGGATGAATCCCTTGAAGGGCTGAACTCACTTTGGATAATGTTCCTGCAAGACAGGGTGGCTGGAGAATGCGGTGCTTCAGCTAAGAAAGAGCGGCCTCGGTCACAACTTTTTCCTGCTCGAGGGGGAAAGGGGGAAAGGGGCAAAGGTAGTGAAATGACTCCCAAAGAGAAATGCTCCCTCCAGTTCCCCACCGGGATGCCTCATCCACTTTGAGGAACAGGGATTCTCACTGCCAACCTGCTCTCTTTCGCGCCCAAAATGTGCCAATAGGTCATTACCTTACCTATTTGAGGGTCGAGGGGCATTTTTCCCAGGAGAGGCACGTTTAAGGTGCGGCACATCATCTCTGCGCCCCCCGTGGTGAGAGGAAATATTTGGGACTCTTTCTGTAAAAGGGGAAAACTGTTACACAGGCTCCGAGGTGTTCCGGAAAGGGGGGGGGGGGCTGAGCGTTTGTGCCACACCGAGGTCTCTTCCGCTGCCGCCCAGAGCAGTGAAATGGAGCCTGCAGCCCCCTGCCAGGGAGGGAACCGCCCTCCCTGGCCAGCCGCTCAGGGCTGCAGAAGCTCCCTGGAATTCACAGGGGAGCCACTTTGGTGGCTGGAGGCCTGAAGGGAGAAGAAACTCTTAAGGCCTGGGGAGGGGTAGCGGAACCTCACCACGGAAGGGCTGGACGCGGCAAGAATAATTACCCTACTTAAAAGCTACTAAGAGAGACGTAACAATACCTTACATTTGGGGCATACGAAGCCGCTCATATTTTCCACCACTCCAATGACAGGTAGCTTCACCTTACGGCAGAAGCTGATCTCTTTCCGAACGTCCTGAAGTGCCACTTCCTACGGGAAAGAAGAGCTGACCACCCATCCAGCTTCCCCGCATTAATAGTTGCCCTTGGAAAGAAAAAGAGGCCCACTGACCGCACTGCCCTTAAGGTTTGGCCCAGGGGTCCTGCGAAAGCATCGCTGGGGGGACTCACACCTTGGAATCTCCCTGCCTCTTCTGCTCTTCCTACAATGTGCACCTGGCAGTGACTGCCTACCTGCTTACAGCCCAACTGAAACGCCGCCTTAGTCCCATGGCGGAGGATCCATATCTCACCTGTGGGGTGGTGACGATCACTGCCCCATCAACTCTGGCACTGCTGAGAAACTGGACTATGGATATATGTTCATCTGATGTTCCTGGAGGGGTATCTACAATCAGGTAGTCAATTTCACCCCAGTCCACATCCCGAAGAAATTGCTTAATCATCCCTAAAAATAATAATAAAAAATAAAGGGAGAAGTTGGGTCTTTTGCGGGGGAAGCCTGAAATTTACCTCAGTCGCCCGCATCAAGTGTGTCTCTGTGCTGGAGTGTATTTTTCTTAATATATTTTCACATGGTCTCCAAACAAAAATAATTATCAACTAGTTATCAAGCTCTAAAATTAGAGCTAGTTTAATTTTAACTAAACCTATGGACCAAATTTGCAGATGATACTAAGCTGGCAGGAATAGCTAACACTCAAGAAGATAGGCTGAAGATCCAGATGGATCTTGACAGACTAGAACCCTGGGCCGTATCTAACAAAATGAAATTCAATGTAGAGAAAAGTAAAGTCCTACACTTAGGCAAGAAAAACCAGAAGGACACATATAGACTGGGTGAAACCAAGCTCAACAGCAGTAACTGTAAGAGGGATCTTGGTGTCTTAGTGGACAACCAGCTACATAGGAGCCAGCAGTGGGCAGCAGCAGCCAAAAAAGGTAACGCAATCCTAAATTGTATTAATAGAGGGATACAATCAAGATCAAGGGAGGTACTTATACTACTCTATAAAACCCTAGTAAGACCACACCTAGAGTACTTCATCCAGTTTTGTTCACCACATTATAAAAAAGATGTTGAGACTCTAGAAAAAGTACAGAGAAGAACAACCAGGATGATTAGGGGACTGGAGGCTCAAACCTATGAAAAACGGTTGCAGGAACTGGGCTTGGCTAGTCTAATGAAGAGACGGACCAGGGGAGACAGGAGAGCAGCCTTTCAATATTTGAGGGGCTGCCACAGAGAGGAGGAAGGGGTCAAGCTATTTTCCAAGGCACCTGAAGGCCAGACAAGGAATAATGGATGGAAACTGAACAAGGAGAGATTTAACCTGGAAATAAGGAGAAACTTTCTGACAGTGAAAACAATCAACCAATGGAACAGAAGTTGCCCTCAGAAGTTGTGGGAGCGCCATCGCTTGAGACTTTCAAGAAGAGAGGTCTGCCATTTGCCAGAAATGGCGTGGGGTCTCGCTGCTTGGGCAGCGAGTTGGACTAGATGACCTACAAGGTCCCTTCCAACTCTGATTATCTGTTATTTGTTATCTGACATTTCAGAAGTGGGGAAGCCACCGCCATTCACAAGCAAATCAGCAGCTGGGTTTCTTTGCAGGGGCCAAGAGACACAAACCGTTTTTTTTCGGTCCTCTCCAAATAACGGCATCATCAGGGCTGCTCAGCAGAAACCCCACTGACATCACACCCAGGTTTTCTTCAACGTACTAGAAGACAGGAGCACACACACGACTGACAAAACAAAAACTACAAATGCATTATTATTTCTGTCTATGAAGCAGCTGCAACCTTATCACTCCTAGAGTTCACCCAGAGATCAAGTATCTCTGCATCTAGGCCAAACCTTTTCAGAAAGTAAATAAATCTTAATTTACTTATTTCAGTCCGTAAACTAACATAAGGAACTTCAGCACCAAAATAGGAGAATATGGGAGAGGCCATCTAACGCTTGCTTTTTCTTGATGAAAACGTAGTTTCTAAGTTTTGACTGAAAGTGGCAACCAGAGTTCTCGTGCAGTTGGTTAACAAACAGCCACAGCAACTCACCACTGGAGACCAGCCAGACCCACTTTGATGAACCTGAAAAGGAGGTTTCAAAATGTTAATATGCACCCAGCACCCAACATCACAATAATTTGCTATTGCTCTAAATTTGTAATTCAAAGGGACAGTGAATTTATGATGATAATATCCACGTAGTTAGAAAAAAACCAATATATAAATTTTCCAAGACTAGATATTGGTAAGAGATTGACAATCAACAAGCGTCACCCCAAATCAGGGAGAGGAGCTAAGCACCCTATTTTAGAAACATGTAAGTTTGCTACAACAGAACTTTTTGTTCTGGGATAGATCTTTTAAGTACATCTTATTATTGGTTTCCAAAAGGCCAGTTCTCACTTTGCAGAACCACTAAACCGAAAATAAAAAGTGTCCAGGTTAATCTAGAAAGCTGCATTTTAAAAAGGACCGCATGGCACAAGCACTGACATCCTGAGTCAAGAGCAACACGATGAACCATTTCTGACACACAAAGCCACACCTGTTCTCCCTCAAGGCCCATGATTTTGGGGATGGATGGTCCACAAATGTCAATGTCCAGCACGGCAACCTGGAGTGAGAAGAGACAGTCAGGATTTGCAAGTTTACTTTCAAAGATACCACAAAAATATGTATGGGATTGTTGCAACCCTTTGTGATGACCCGGGGCGTGGCACGAAGGCAACACAGCCAGAGAACCGATATGAGTCCCTTTATTTGCTCTAACTTTGCCCCCAACGTCCTGTTTACTCTCTGGCCGGGAGAAAAACTCTCCCGTGAACTTGCACAGCCTCTGGCCACAGATACTCTGGTCCAAACTCTGTAAACAGAACGACTCCAATCAATCACTCCCGCAGGGCAAGATAACGAGTCCAATAATTCCAGCAAGGCAAGATAAGCACACAAAGAACCACGGCAATAATTCAAACAGTCAGGAATGCAGGCTAAACTCTCAGTGCCAGATGAATTCAGTATTTGTTCCCAACAGCCGCCCCTCCCATGACACCCTTTTTCACTGATCAGAAGGCTGGCTCTAGGGAAGGACATAATCTCTATCTGCTATCAAGCAACACTATGCATGTGTGGCCTTCCTCACGAAGCCATCACGAGAAATTGCTTGTTTGTCTCCATTGTCAGGCCACTGTTACGACAACCTCTGTGATGCTGAAGAGTGTTACACAGGAGACCCTCACCTGCGTCGTTTCATCCTCTGCTAATCCGTGGGCCAAGAGAGCAGTGAATGTGCTCTTACCCACACCTCCTTTCCCAGACAACACCAGCAGCTTGTGCTTGACAGTTTTCATCTTTTCCTTGATTTCCTCAATAGCTTCATGGAGGAGAAAACAACAGAAAAAACTTTAATCAATAAAATATTTTGTATTTGAGGATGGAGAGTCGGATGTGATATGGAACTTGGTTTTCGTCTCCTGACTGAGTGGCCCTACAATAGGGTTAGCTCCTAGCCTGCCATTAAGCCCCCTCCACCCCTAATGGTCCCACCTCACCCACAGCTCAAAGGCAAATGAAAAAGCATTGAGAACTCTGCAAGCTGCCATCTGTTGCTGCTAGCCGGCAGCAGGTGCGGACGGCTGAGGAGAGCAAGGACACAGATGAGGGGCCAGGACCATTAGGGAGTGGACTGCTGCCTTCAGAAATTGTGGGGGCTGGCAGCAGCGATGAGGAGGTTCCAGAGGAGCCTGTGCCAAGTGCGCGTGTGCACAGGATCGATCGTAGGAGAGAGCAGTTACAGCAGCGCAGGTGACTCGGGAGTAAGACTGCAAGGTAATGGCCCCTCCCTCAAGAGGATAAAAGCCAGGTTTGAAGAAGCGTTCTTTGCAGAAGGTAAAGACGCTCTGAGACTCAGCCTCGTGGACATCATAGTTAGTATTTGAAAACTCTTGGAAACTAGTTCTTATCTCTGGGTTTTTGGCAGCCTTGACAAACAACTTGGCAAGGCTAATTAGTTGGAAGCAGCCTTCTATCTATGAAGAAACAGAATTCGTGGATTAAACCTTAAAAGGTGGGGGCTGCTGCCTTTGTCTTGTGTTTGCTCTTTTGGAACCCGGTTGGGTCAGAACACCATCAGAGACTCCCTCCCAAGCTCGTTCTCCAAGCTCAGTTGCATAACGCACCCATAACATACCTGGGTCAGGGCCAGCAAGTTGTCCCAAGGAACACAAGCCCTGGTTGGGGCATCCTTGGCAAGCATCAGCCTTGCCTGCTTCATTGCTGTCAGTGCCCGGACAGTCTGGAGGGGATATGAATAAAGGACAATATTCACACTGGAGGAAGATGAGGAGTCACAGGCGAGCGTGATGGCAACAGATCTGACTGAAAATTTAGCATCATTGTAGTAGGCCGGGGGAAAAAAATGTGCAGGAGAGAAAAAGGCTGGATGCTAAAGAGAAGGTGAGCAATCCACAGAAGGGGAGCCCCCCCTTCCCTCTGGAAGGACAGAGACCCTTTCCGGCCACGCCCTTCAGGGACCTTAAAATTGCTCTCCTGTCAAACCCCACCACAACAATCTCCCCTCCCCACCCGAAGTTCAAATGGCCCTCACCAGGCTAGTATTTCAAAGGGACCTTTTGTTCACGCACAGACACAATTCAAGGCTCTCTGGTTGTTTATATATTTATTATTTATTACATTTTTATGTCACCCATTTCCCTACAAAGTGGAGACTCTGGCCGGCTTAGGAGGTATAAAACAAATAAAAAAAGAATTAAAATAGTAAAACATAATTGCACTGATTAAAATATTATTAAAATCTTTTACTCAGATGGAAACTCAGAGCGCTAAGACGTGATTGTCATGATTGCTCCTGGGGGGCCGTCGAGGTGGGGCCGGGCAAGGCCGAAAAGAGGGGACCGGCCGACCCCCCCTCTGCGGCCCCGCTCCCAGGCCTTTCCAGGGGCTCCGAGGACGGCGATTCGGCGGAGAGGCGCGCCCCCCGTCCGCCCGGCGCCCCCCTCGCTCACCGTGAGGCCGTCCGTCGAGGGAAGGCCCGCTCCCCTCCGCCATAGCGGCGCCACTTCCGGAAGAGAAGTGCACTTCCGGCCGGAGGAGGGACGCCAAAACGGCTCCGCGGTGCGCCCGAAAGAAATCCTCCCCCGGAGAAAGAGAGCGGGCGAGGCGTTCCGGTTGGACCGCGGAGGGAGGCTGGAGGAGCCGAGCGAGGGGAGGGAAGGCCGGCCCCTCTTTTCCGGCCTTAGTCCGGCCCCTCAGCTTGGGACAGGGCGCCCCTCAGCGCCCCCAGCTCTTTGGCTTGGGGTCATTCAGGGGGGCTGGGAAGCTGGCGGCTGAGGCCTGGCCCACCAGAAGAGTGGACCATCTCCCAGAATTCCCCAGCCGGCATGCCACCTGGGGAATTCTGGGGGTTGAAGTCCACCTGTCCTCAGGTTGCCCAGGCTGGGAAAGCCTGGCCCAGGGCAAGCAGGGAGGCATTTTAAGCAGGCAGTGGAGGAGGGGGGGCCCTCCAGGGTCCTTTTGTGACACCAGCGCCAAGTCACAGTGCCAGGCTAGGCTCAAGGAGCAGAGACCCCCCCTCCCCCCCAAGGCAACTGAATTGCTCTTGCGCCTTGGGCTGCCAGGGAGGTTGGTAACTGCCTGTGGTGTTTGATGGAATTCTTGGGCACCACCCAGACGGCCAGCTACTGTGGACCGAAGAAGAGCTGCCTGCTGCCAGAGGTGGCCCCCACCAGCCTCAGCCATGACAGCTACCAGGCTTACTACCTGCCAGGCTATCGCTACCTGAACTCATGGAGGCCCAGCCTCTTCTACAAGGTCTCCGCTTTCCGACCTGGAGATGAGGGGGCCGGGCGCCTCAGTGCCCCGTTGAGGCCCCCAACCATCCTGCCCTCGGTGAGGTCCTCTCTCTACGCCCGCTACAGTCCCCAAGACTGGTATAAAGCCAACACCGTGCAGATCAAAGGGTCGGAGGCATACCGGCACTGGGCCGGGCGGCTGAATGCGGACAGTGCGCGGCTCATGCAAGACAAGGACCAGCTGACTCGGCAGCAGCAAGAGGATTCTGGGAAAAACCTGGGACAGAGGCTGGCTGACATCGATTTCTGGCGGTCCGAGTTGACCTATGAGCTCGAGCGGCTGCTGCTTGATACTCGTGCGCTGGACACTGCCAAGCGGCGCCTGGAGTGTGCGGCTGATGAAGCCCAGGGGCCTCTCCAGGCAAGTGTGGCTCCCCCAGTGCTGTCAGGCTGCTATTAATGTGGGGTGCTGGAGAAACAGTACTGGCCTCTCTTGCGGCCACTGCGGGGTAATGCCTTCACAACCATTTCCCTGGTGGGTTAGTTCTACAACATTCTCCTTTGCTGTAGCACTGCAGCATCCTTCGAATGGTAGGCAAACCCTTGGAAGGATAGCAGCATGCTTTTTAATATGAATCTATCCCTGAACTAGGCCCTCAACAGGCTCACAAAACGATAGGCAAGGTAAAAATGACCCGTGCTTTCTGCCAAAGGCGGTTTGCAGAAAGAGGTATGGAGAAACACTGTTCCGCCATAGAAAATATCCCTTTGGCGTTTGCTTCTGTGAAGTGTCTCAGAAGAGATTAAAAATGCTTAGGCAGATTGCTTCAGAGATGGCAATTCTACTTTTTGTGTTAAAAGCCAGAACAGCAATTTGTTTTCAGCTCAGAAAGGAGGAGGAATCTGCCAAAGCTCCGGAATAAGTAAAGTCTTCACTTCTCTGCTGGTGGCAGCACCAGCCCAACCTTGACTTGAAAGCTAAGCCAGTTTGCGCCCGGTTGAAAAACACGTCACTAAGAGTCAAAGCTTGACTTGAAAGAAGCTCTTGAAAGAATTGTAATGTTAATGGTATTGTTGGTGCCTTCTCATAAAATATCAGTTGTAGAAGAAAAGGGTGAGAATTCCACTTTCTTGAGTGTAGAAAAGTAGGATTTTAAAAGTGTTACGCACCCGCTAGAAACATTGTGCGCTTCCCTGAGTCAGCTTTGCTGTGAGATGAAAACTGGCCATTAGGTGGCATATTAGCTTTTCTCTCCAAATCTGTTCAGGACACATTGTTGACCCCCAAAGCAGCCACAGCCAAAGTTGGCCTGAGGCAGGAGCTTTTTGTCCTCTCCATCTCCCCGCCCCCCCCGCCCCCTTGGATATCTTTTTAATTCTATTTCTATTTTCTATTTTGTTCGTAGGTGGCCTTGGAATGCTTATACAATAGGGAGAAACGGATGGGAATTGACTTGGTCCATGATCACGTGGAAAGGAATCTTATACAGGTATTGTAAAATAGTTTGTAAGCAATTGCCAAAAAGTAGCATTTAAATGGTAGGTTTTTGTTTTCCCGCTCTTCCTGCCCTCTGGGTTTACTCATGGAAAGGTAAGCTGACCGGAAACTGTTCAGAGCAGGAACGGATATGCTATCAGCTTGTTTGGAGATATCTGGTTGCATTCCTGAAAGAGGATTTTCTTTTTTCTTTTTCTTCATTTTCTGTGAGCAGGAATTTTTTGTATAAAGCAAGTTTCAGTAATGTAAGATTAGTCCAGTGGAAAGACTTTGGGAAAAACCTTGGGAGACGGGTGAAGAGAGGCTGCCTAGGGAAGGGTCTGAGAAGGGGCAGCAGAGCCCGTGGCTGGAAAGCGGGCAGGGCGAGAGGCGCAGGAGGGACCCTGCCAGGTTTCTCAGGCTGCAAAGGAGTTGGCGGGTGAATAGCACTTACAGACTAATTCTGTTAGCGTAGCCTTATAAGTAAAGTGGAACGAGCTCAGGTGGTTGCGTTTTCTGCCTGATCCGGCTGATAAGGCTGACGTCTTGTTTAAAATTCACCAATTTCAAGAGGGTGAGGTTAGTCTGCAGCTGGTTTCCCACACTGTGTTGAACTTCCGCTCCCATAATTCCCAGCCACTGAGACTTACTGAAAGATAATAACTCACAACAATTCTATGTATGCTTCCATTGAGCTCTGCCTCTGCTATGTGTATTAATACCTGTAACGCATGATGAAACTTTTCTCTCGGTTCAGGTTTAAACAAATAACTCCGGGGACTCCTGCTGTGTTCTGATGCAGATTCCGCAATCTGGAGTCTCCCTTGAATCATCTGATAAGCTCCTTATTAATTTAACCTTCCTGCTGATAAAAATGAATGAGAATCACTATTCCCAGCATGCAATTGCATATAAATGTAACACAAGGATCTTTTTGCATTTTAAATAAACAAGATGTTCTTCTGGTGTCTGCGTACATCCTGTAGGAAGGCTGGGACAAGCCTCTCCGGAGCTGTTGCTAAAATTACCTGGATGTCTCGGTATTGTCACCAGGTGTCAAAATACCACCTTTAATTCTCTGTTATCCCTTTTGTTTCCCTTTCCTGGGCCTTTGCAAGGACGGAGGATTGCTCCGCAAACTGCCTTTCCCCTCAACTTCTGCAGAATCCCTGACCGGCGTGTTTTTTCTATTCCAGGAGGTTGATTTGATCAGGGCGTGCCAAGAGAAAATGAGAAAGCTCGCAGAAAGAATCGACCAGCAGATTAAGTAAGCTTTGAAACAAGTCAGCTGCTAGTAAAAGCGGGATGATGAGTTGGTCAGATTTATCTGTGCTGGGGAGGATGCAACAGCTGCAGCAGCAGTTCAAGATCACCATTATGGTTTGAGGAATCCTCTTTGGGATGGGTGGGGCCTTCAGCAAGGAACAATCAGTTCGTTGGGCGGCTCTCAGTAGCAAGAAGCGTGCGACTGCACAGCGCCCAGAGGGAAAACCAGAGGTAACCTTCAAAGGCAGGAAGTGGAAAAAGAAAAGAAAAGAAACGGCAACGGCTAAACTAGCATGATTTATTCCTTGACTACTATCACCCACCCACATGTTTTACTTTGACTGTCACACTAGGCAGAAGTTCAACAGGTAGCGGTAGCAGGACTCCTTCCGCTTCACTCTCTTGTCTTACTGAAAGGAAAGTGTGATAATCAGGAACTCCGTAAACATAGGAAGGCTTTCTTGTCACTCTTGTAAAAGTGACAAAAGTATAGGGTTAAAATTCATGTGGTTTTTTTTTTTTAACAACCTGGGAATGGAGAGAAATTTCCTGTGCCTTTTCAGTGGATGTTCCTTGACTCCTCTAATGAATAATATTGGGAGAGGGAAGACGATAACCGCATAAATCTTTGTTCCAGCCTTAACAGAGATGCTCAACATGCGCTTGAGAGGGATCTCGGGGATAAAAGCTCAGCTCATTTTATCGATGAAAAATGCTATAATTTGAGGAATACTTCAGACAGTATCAACTACTACCATGGAATTGAGAAAATTGATGGAACGTAAGTACCGGACTATCTCCTTGTAGTCATTTACGTAGCAGCCAAATGAATGCGGGAATAAGAAAGAGCCAGTCTCATGAAGTTTGTCAGAGCCCTTTCGTTGATAATTGGACACTGGATTAGGGACATCAGTGAGCACTTTGCCTTACAGAAAAAGATTAAGGGGAAAAAACCCTTCAAACATTTTTCCTAGACTTGAAATGCATGTTAAAGTATTCCAGGTCAACCTTAGATGGCCTCAACAATTTTAACTGGTTCTTACGTTCCACACTAGGGAGGTCTGGTTCTCTCCACTGTGCGCACAGAGCTGCACCTCTTCACTCGTGGGCTCTGTTTTTTCTTCTCTGTTTTCCACCATCCCATAGTCAGCACCCGATGGAACCCTTTATACCCCGCAGTCTTCTCTCCTATTATTAGCACTGGGCTATAATTTTTGACCCGGGCCCCTCTCACGTGAAATAATAGCTTCCTTCCATTATCCAAAGCGACTCGGCCTCTTGCCTTGCAGAGTCTCCGTCCCTGAAACCTGGGCGAAGTTTAGCGATGACAACATCCGGTATTCCCAGAACGCCCGGGCCAACACGGCCATCCTCTGCGAGGAAGCCAACCACACGCTGGAAATCACCTCGGATGACATGTGGAAGCAGTGGACAGAGAGCAACCTGTCCTTTACCTCTCGCATCTCAGAAATTGCAGATGCCAAGAACCAGCTGCAAGCACAGCTGGCGAAGGTAGGACAGGCCGGTGGGCAGCATCCCGTTTGC